AAAAATTAATAAAGTATTAAAAAAAAAACAAAAATATCAAACTGAAATATTCGAATTAGTTGAAAAAAAAATAATGTCAGAAATGAGAAGAAATAAACAATAAATAGAAATACGCCAATTTGTAAAGAAATTAGAATTCTCGTATTGAAAATTACATCATTTTGATTTCAGATAATTTCTCTTTGCAAGTTAGCGTTCTTTTCTGTTTGTTTTTTGACATTATTTTCGTTTTTGAATAACTCATACGACTACTTCGATCTCAATAAGCATTTTTAATACTTTAATAATTTCATTCATTGTTTTTTCTCTCAAGACTTTCTCATAGAGTTGAAGTCCAAACTTCTAACATTCACCAGAAAATATTGTTACCCATATTCAAAATTAATGAAAATATAGAGTTGAAGTAAATAAACGTTTGCCGGTAATGTCCTAGACATATTTTTTTGACAGAAAGTTTTATTTCTTCATACTCAGAATGCAAATAAATATTTGTGGACAGATTTACTATATTGAAATTTTTGAGAATGAATATTTAAATAAGCTTCTCATGACCACTTATTCATGCATTGAGTAGACTAATATTTTCAACTTTTTCACATTCTGCAGATAACGTATCCAAAACTAAAACTAAGTAAATAATTTGAATTTTGAGTAAAGTTTGCTTTCTGAAGCATTTGAGTTTTGGCCGTATCAATCATTTGAACTGAACGAGGTACGAAACATGCAACTGGCAAACATATGGCATACATATTTACTCCCAATTTGTCATCGTGCATAACTAGCAATGCTTAGGGCTCTTATGGTTATACTCGTCAAAGTAGTTCAGATAAAAATACAACAGTACTTGGTCTCTACTAGCCATACAGAAACCGAGAACATTTTTCGTTATAGGTCATTTGTTACAAATGGATACGCTCATAACAGGCATAGTATTTCTCAGCTCTTGCATTAATAATTTTCATCACATTGTATTCTGAATTCAAATGAGAGTTCAGATTAGGATGATAAAAAATTTCAAGTTCAAGGTTAGACTTTAACTCATTTTAACCAACAATAGATATTTGAACAAGCTACAATTCGGAGAGTAAATTTCCAGATCAGAAAAAAGTGAGAGTTTAGAAAAATTAAAACTTCTTACCCTTGACATTTTATCGTGAACTTGAATGTACAAGGACCATGTGTAATTTTTTAAAGGAAGTCCACTAATGAATAGTAAGTAATGAGCATTTTTCAATATTGTCCAACCAGAACCGCAACATTAATATCAATTTCGAAACTAACAAAAAATTACTCTAAATTTACTCTTACTCTTCTAAATTTGGAATTCGGCATAACCTTCCAATTTCAATTTCAGTCGATATACAGCACAAATAAATAAAATAATATATACATGTCACAGATTTTCATTGATTAAGCTCAGTTAGACCTACATCATTGTTCAAGGGGTATTTTTAGTATATATGAATAATGAGAGAGCAAGTTGAGGGTTAAACTAAGGTATAGTCAGCTGCATTTTGCTTATCTTAAAAATAACAGGTTTGAATCTTGGATGGAACAGAAAACTGATAGTTTACTAATGGTTGGAAACTCGCGTTGGAACGCAATCACATTACTGCGCAGAATCCTGACTGTCAGAAACTGTTTCTGACGCTGGTTGGAACGAACCTATAATAAATAACTCTCATTTGTCCACACTTGGGAGATTGCAATAATATAAAATTGTTATAACAGATTTGTTCACATAGTTCAAGTTAAATTACAGTAAAACAAAGTAAATTTCAAATCACCAAACAGTTTTTGGGCCGTTGGGAAGAATGGTAGAAATAATATGGAGGAGCATTACAGGCTAGTTGAATATGGTCAAATCTTCGAATACTTCATGAACTGACACTTTAATATTTCAAAATTAATAAAACCATTATTCCAATATTATCTCATAACAAATTACCAGTTATCAAAACAATATAATCCTAATAAAATTTTCGTATTTAAGAGGTACTTTTGGATCAAATCCAACCCTGTTTTCACCAACATAAGGCGAATAATAAAAAATATGTATTCAAAAGTTCAAACTACAGCAAAGCTTGTGTTTCATAGAAAAAATATTACATCTATTAGTTTAACAATAAATTCATGAACATCTTTGAAACCGCAAATTTTCATTCACAATAAGTTCAAAACTCTATGAATGCAAATGTTATTTCTGAAAAGTAAACATTTATCTATTTACCAAAGATTTAATATTTCAGTAGATCTGGAAGTAAACATACAACTGTTCTAAAATAACAATAATTCGTCATTTTTCTTCTTCCATTTTTTATTGCCTGTGAGGTATTCTAGAAATCGGCTTCCTTACAATGACGAATGACAAAGTTTGATCGTGTTTTGGATACCAATGTGGCCACACATGGGTGAAATTAGAAGTTTGATGATTTCCTGTTTCCTGATTTCTGTTTGTTATTTTGTTTATAATATCAAAAACATTATTCAGAATATGTATAAACAATGTATTTCCTGCCAATATAGTTCAATTATAAGTGTAAAGCACATTTTCTTTTAATTATATTTAAAATACCACTACTAAATAAATCATTTGTTTGTGGAGTGAAGTGTGTCAAACTATTCAGCTGTTGGACTCGTGATCTCAAATATTGACGTTATCAAGCGATTCATTACACTATTCGGGTAGGCATCAAATTAATTTGTCTTAATGAATAGTACAATCTTCTAAAAAAAATACAGTTTTTTAGCAGAACTATCTTATGAGTACTATACCTAGATTTTGAAATATAAAAAGTTGAAACTGATTGTATTATTTGGTATCTGTGGGATCATATTTCTGTGTATTCTATAGAGATAATTTCAGAAGACAGTGAACTTCATCTTTAATAATAAAACTGTTGTCTCCATAATTATTGTAATGAAATTTTTGGAATTGAAGCTGACATTTTAGTAATATGAATAAATTACATTCGATCAAATTTGTCGAAGGCCATATTGTTAGTACACATAAAATAAAAAATTTCCAATAAAATATCTGAGAAACTTGCCAAAATCTGTTTTTCCGTTGACCACGTGTCATTTCCTTTCAAACGACAACCTTCGAAACATGTGCGAGCTAAGGAGTAACAAGGTTTTACCTTATAACTTGTTATTCCTAGCACGGGTTGGTCGGATGTACACAGTGATAATTCAAAATCCTACAGTTGGACTCGAACCAACTTTCACATAGAGGTTTATTGAATAAATGGAACAAAACACTCACGAAAATCAAACGCCTTCCAACGGACTTGAATATTGGTATGGACTTGAAACTTTTCTTCTTTTAAGTTATTTTTCATTGGGATCCTTTAACATAATTTTTCATGTATCAATTGTTGAAATGGTGAACTTTAGCATTTTTGGAATTCATTAAGATACAGTAAACAAAAAACTGGTGAGTAACATCACTTTATTTTTTGTAAAGAAAAGCCCAATATGCATTTCTTTCTGGTAGAATATAATATTCACAAAAAATATTTGACTAAATTATTTTCCTTCTCGATCCACAATTGAAATGCATATAACTTTCTCAGTGGATGATATATTCATTTGTTAGTAAGAAGCTAAAATAAATTATGGGTAAAACAGAATAAAAATTAGCAAATTTGGATTAATTGCCATCAAGCTCGAACTGTATATGGAGACTTGCTTTTACTTGAACTTGGAACTATTTTTCATGGTCTTATAATTATTATAAGAAAAAAAAATTGTATTTAGTTTTTCGTTAATAACTCAAAAAATATTAATATTCAAGCAATTTTTATTAACAAAATAAGAAAAAAAAATTGTATTTAGTTTTTCGTTAATAACTCAAAAAATATTAATATTCAAGCAATTTTTATTAACAAAATAAGAAAAAAAAATTGTATTTATTTTCAATTGTTTTTGCAAAAATATTTTTAGTTAATGCGGCCATTCAATGCAAGACATTATAATCTGACTCAAAACTCGATAGCATAAATGTTTGGAGATCAAAATATATATGAAATGTAAAAAATGTATGTAAGAAAACTATGAAGATCTTGTTATCCTGTTTCTGCATTGAGAAAATCTCAGATGTGGTAAATTTCGACTGAAAGAAAAATCTGTTAAAATCTGTCTTTCCATCAACCAACTGTTGCCCCCCTATAAATGACAAACCCTTAAAAGTTGAAACTTTTGCAAGCTAAGAATTAACGAGGTCTTACCTTCAATTACTAGCACGAAAACAATGAAATGTGATGAGCTGTATTGTTCCCATAATTATTAATATTGTAGGTTCGTTCTTTGAAATTAAAGGTCACAAATTTCAAAATAACATGACTTCTAAGAAATCCTTCCAAAAATGGAAGAAGTGGTATCTTGGTATGAAATTAAAAAATAAACAACTTTTTCTTCTTTCCGTTTTTAAAACATGAGAAAAAAAATCAAATTAATAACAAGGATATTATGAATTCATCAATATAATTAAGGTGAAAATGATACATTGATAAATAATTCCAGATCTTCTGATTGAGAGACATCACTCCTAACTCACTCCTCACAATGTTCCAGAACAGATAAGCTTATTAACTGCCCACAAAATTATTTTCTTTCTCAGTTCAAAACTGTATGAATGGAACTATAGGGTAAACTAAATGGTTGGTAAAACAAATTTGAATGAATTGCCATTTGAAGGAAACATTTTACAGCTTACAAAACCGCGACACATGTTTCACTATACAATAGCTTCTATAGGCATGTTCTGTACTAATTGCCCATAAGTAGGGAAAATAATTGACATGTTCGAAGGTGTCATTGAATACTTTTCATTACGAGATTTTAACTGGACACCTCAAATATCAGCCAGTTCCATTACATGACTTGCTTTTATTTGAAATTTCAACCATTTGTCATGAGCTGAAGAGATATACTTACTTTACAAAAAAAATGAATGTTTCCTTTTGAAATTCTAGATGATTTCAACAATTACTGCAATGTCAATGTCAAATTTGATCAATACCTTAGTATTTTCAAGCTTTAATACAAATGTTTTGTATCAAACTGCCACTTTGAGGATCACTCTAAGAGATTTCAAGGTTAGTGATGGAGAATCTCACTATATTGTTGCATTATATACAATATTTTCTCAACATACAACAATATACATATTTTTGTTGGTGTTCTGTGGCTTTGTAAGTCGGCAGAACAGAAACTTTGACAAGTTTTAAAGAAACTGAACCATTCAATACATTCATGAATTTATGTGCAATAAATTAATAGATGTAATATTACTATGGAGGAGTAATCTACCATTCATTTCAATACATCCAGTTAAAAACATGTTAATGATCCTATTCAGTTGATTAAAATATAGAATAAAATAATAAGAGATCACACTAGTAGAAACAACAATAGAATATAGTATTCCCAGTGGTTTTCTGATGAATTTCAAGTTTTGAAAATTCTATATTGGAAAACTACTTTGTTGTTTTGAGTTGATGTCAATGGAACCAATTTATTCATTGTTTTTGAACATATCTAAAACTCTCAACCATTAAAAAATTGCACAGTGTGAAATATTTAAAAACTATTCTGTAATATTTGACATCAATACCACCAATGAAAAATATATAAAAATACAATGGGAGTTATCAGAAAGTAAATTGAAATTATAACTTGGTGATAGATCCATTCATAAACTTTCATTTCACCAAAAATCATCAAAATTATTTATATAACTTTTTAGAAAAAGATAGTTTGAATAAATAACAATATTTTTAACAATTTTGAGCACATAGGTTGCTAATATGACAATCACAGTTCTGGCCAAGTTTTCTAATATTTCATAAAAAAGATTAAAAGGAAAGAGAAACTAATGGACTCTGAAAAATTCTAGTGAAAACCCCACGGAAATAATTCCAACATAGTAATTTCAAATTTTGAAATATTTACCTAAACCTCTGGAAATACAACAATTAGTACAAGCATAAAAAATCTGAATCACACATCCGGGTTATGAGCAATTGTTAGAGTAACAGACAAACCAGATTCTTTGATTAAATTGACGATATCACCATGGCTTAGGTGCATGATATCTATGTGATTAACAGCCAGAATGTAGTCACCAACTCTTAATCGACCACATCTCTCTGCGGGGCTATCTTCTATCAAACGTCCTGATAAAAAACAAAAAACAATTATACAGCACAAAACAGATAAACATTTATAACAAACACAAAGAACCTTAAATGAACCATTACACAACTTTTTCTCTTGAGCTCAAGGACAAAAAAAGGAATTGCAAATACCTGTAAAGTATGTATAAAATGAACTATAGATGAGAAGCACGTTTGTTCACTTTCAAAAACTCTTGGGGATAACTTAGATATCGACACGAATTGTGCCAACTGAAAGAATTTCAAGTAGAATCTTCATTTCATTAGTCTTTTTAGAATAAGAGCTATTTTTAGTTCCATAAAAAAATGTAAAGTTACAATTTTTCACAAAATTTAAGCTGTGGCTGAATCATACACTAAACTTCTACTTCATCTTTTAGTTTCAATTTGAAAACAAGGATTAAAAAGTGGTGAAATTAGGTCAATTATACAGCATTTTTAAAGAAACAGTGGCACCAGCTCGTAGAAGACATAAATGTAGGATGTCCCGATTTAAACAAATTTTTTTCAGATTCAAAAGACACAGTCAAGAAAATATATTGATCATTTGTCCATGTTACTTACACTTTTCACAGAAAGCCAATATCAACTACACTATCGGCTACCGCAAGCACATTCTTTCACTGTAAGCAGTCATTGAAGAAAAAGTCCTCGGCCATAGAACTTATATGAAAGAAAAAGTAAAAGTGTGGTGTATGAAAGATCTCATTGATTTAAATTTTGACAACTTACTTGAAGTGAAAGTGAAAGATAAAGTAGAAGTTCGGTTATCAGTTACGAAGAATTCTTAGCATGCAATACTTTCCTGTCTCTCTTCTGACAAAATAATTATATGGGAGTAAAAAATTTTGTCAATAAATTCTAATGAGAACAAAGAAAACAGCTTCTTTCAAAAATGACAAGTTTTTAAGTTGAGACAATGAAAGTTTAAACTGCCAAGGTTTATTTTCACAAATTCAATTTTTTTTATGAAATTCACATCAATGACATTAATATTAACAACTTTATCAGTCCAGTCAAAAAGTTTTGGTATAGAATTCTAATTATAAAATACATACAGTAAAGACTCATACTATAAAATTTTTCTGGAAGCATAAGTGCTTGTCCGTTGTAGAGTTTTATGTCTAATACGTACCAACTTGTTACAGAATTTTACACTTACGTATCTCAGAGCACGTTATGGAATCTCTAAATGTGAAAAAGGTTGGTGGATATTGAATTCTTACTGTGTGTAAAAGCTTGGTCATTTTCTTTCTTGTATATTGTAAGTTGTTTACATATGTGAACATCGTTCAGCAACTCATCAACTCATATCCCCATGCATTCAAGAAGTGTATCGAACAAATTGTGTTGAAGGCTTTCTTAGACTGATTAAGAGTCGAAAGAATAACAATAAACTTGTCTATAAGTGATTAAAATGTTAATCAATTGAGAAGACATTTGGCAGGAGATATCCAAATTTGATGTTGTTGCTAAGACATTATAGGCACAGTGGAATTTATTGTTTTCGCGATGGCCTATTGTATAATAAATGGAATCGTCCCAGATAATCACTTTGAAATGATGCTTAAACAGCTTCACAGCAATTACGTAGGTGAGCGCCTCAGAATCGGGACAAATGCTAATTCTAGGATTTGAAATAGGGTTTACTATTCATTGGGATCAAGAGAAATGATTCAAGAGTAGTGACCATATTAAAGAGACAAAACCTTGGAGTCGGGACGAAATATTCAAAGTAAATTTGACAGTAAACTATGGCAGAAAAAATTGAAAATTGTAGAAATTAACATAAACCCAACTTTATGCACAATCAGGTGTGGTCAATGGCCAAATGTCACAATAAGACCATCAACCAGTACTACATAGTTAAAGTTTATTTCAAAACACATGAAAGCCAGCCCTTACATCACCCAGAGAATCAACAACTTGGTATATATAACCCATCTCAATTAAGAGGGATAAAGATTATCCAAATAGACAAGTTATATGTGTCATCGCCATGATTTCCCAGTCCGATTCAGGAGAGGAAGTACTGATATTCCACAACTTTTTAATTGAACATCACCAGGTTTCATCAGTGATTCTAGGCTAAACCACAAATCTGCTGCTGAACTCGACTGTCCTCAACGGACTACAAAGCTATGTTGTAGGTTATGTTCATACATAGGTAGATCATCTGACAGTTCCAATAGCAAAATAACCAAAAGTGTGAATAGTATAAAGAAATAATCCTTCTCAATTTATAAAGAATGTAACAACATTTCAGTGCTTTCCATACTTCATCACTTCCATCAGCATTTTAAAGACTCAAGATCAGTAAACCTGGCAACGTTACTCAAGCTAACTCTGACAGACGGTTTACGGCGTTTGCCAATATTTTTCATATTTCTTTGCCGTGCAAAAAATTCGAAAAAATGAACTCTCAATTATCCAAATAAATATTGTAAAAGAATAACTCAATCAAAAATAGCTATTCAATAGAACCTTCCAATTTCAATAAATATGTTAACCCGTTTTCTTTCTTATTCAGAGGAAGGAACTGACTAACATTTCATTTGAAGTTCCCCAAATTCACATTGTAAGATTATAACAATTATTACCTCATGAACTGGAGACTTGGAAGTTATTGTTTGAATGTCTCACAAGATTTGAGGGTTTTCAGAAGTGAAATATTACTTGGAAAAATCAAGGTTTCAGCTTCCTACTTCTTCATATTTCTACAAAAAAGTGGGAATCTTTCAGAGGAAGGAAGAAAGCAATTAATATCAAAATAAACTCTCTTCAAACATTTGTAGATCACGCAAAGAAGTAAGTTTCAGACAAAACGTGTTCACAAACTATATACATATATATGAATATGAAATGTATAGGTAGTGAAAGTTCTAGAATTAGTGAACATAAGAAACATACATTTTTCAGACATGTTCTATTATGAGTTCTTGTAAAAACAGTAGAGAAGCAGTTTTTCAATGTGTTTGATCACTGTCATCATAAATATTGATTTGGTAAAAATAAGTATGAACAACTATGTGTTTTGAATGTGGAAATGTGAAACTAATTGAGGATGCTGCTAGATTTTTTGCGGATTGTTTCTATTCTTATTAGCTTAGCATTTTGATTAATTATTGGTCAACAATTCATACTGACTCACTTGACCCATGGGAACCAAATAAAAAATATATTTTTTCTGGTCCTTCTTCCAAATTGTGTTTCTGATTTTAATATATTCATTTTTATGATACAATACAGTATTGTCCTGAAAACTCCAAATGGAATAAGTCAAAGAACACAACTACCTTGTCACCCTCCTGGTGTGCATATTCAAAGCTAGGCTGGGTAAGATTTGTTGAAAAAGGGGATAAACAGCACGTCTGACGTCTGCTGCTTAATATATTTTCGAGTCATCTCAAGACCACGGCCCTTGAAGGTCGTGCTTAATAGAAGTGACTTAGTGACTAGGGGTTCTATTGAGTTAACTTGAGAATTTTGAGAGGAAAAGCCCAAGGATGTCTAAAAAATAATGCTATGAAGAATCTGCTTAAACACCATCAATAATTAGTGAATATTTTTGTATTTTTGGTATTCCAGTTTCCATGTTTCAGACTCCTAAAAAGTGAAAGTATTTTTCAGTCCTTGTTGCGTTTTTTATAGTTTATTTTATTGCATGCTTAGACACACAAGTAATTTCTACAACAATGATAATGAAGCCTGAAGGAAAACAAAATATGCTCATTTGATATACCCCATGTTGTTGTTTTCATGTCATTGTAGTATTCCACAGTTGAAACCTAATCAAACATATACTATATTATCTTTTACTCACCTATGGTAGATCCAATTTTATTGGCAGAAGAGATAATGACAAAACCAAAGCCTTCATTTTCAGTCCTTTGTACGGAGACATCGTAAGTTGGCCCCGGAAGTGGGTTGGCAACAACCAATGGGGCGGTAACATTATTGAGCTGTTGGTGGTTTTCGGAAGGCCAATATCCAGGATTTATCGGGAGCAAAGGAGGGTTAATTCTTCTACGCAGAATTAGATTAACCTGTCCTCTAGCTGCGGCTGCGTTTATTAGTTGCACAACTTGTCGGTGAGAAGCCTTCAACACTGAGAACCCTTCGACACTGACAATTTCATCTCCGGATCGTATTCTTCCATCTAGATCTGCCGAGCCCCCAGGAACAATGTGGCCAACAGCAACCTGTTAATGACGTATTACATTAAAACTTCAAAATTCCAAAATGTTGACGTTTTGGGAATCAAATCCGTTTCCATTAACTGACAGGAGAAAACTACACAAAACTTAACACAAAATGCATGTCTTGAAATAAATGACAAGCCATTAATCAATATTTTCAGATGATCTACTTGTTTTATTAGATCTTTGTTTTTTTTCTAATTATTNAAAATATTACGTTATAAGCCTGCATTGATTCTGTTTAGTAATAGTAGAACTACATCAGAAATTGAAGAAGTAGAAGTCCAATTTACCAACTACAACATTGTGAGGTATGATTCTACTTCTAGACATACTGGTGGAGTGCTAATATATGTTAGATCTGATATTATGTTCACTAACTTCAGAACATTCACCCTGGAAGGAAACTATTGGTGTAAAGTTATAAAAATTTGATATTCCAATAAGCAACTGTTAATAGATGCCTAATATCATTCTCCAAATGCAAACCATTCTATATTCATATTTTGTGATGATGTAATAATAATATCAAATGGTAATAATATCAAATGTATAATAGCTGGGGACTTTAATATTAATTTTCCTAATAATGATTACTACAGTACAAGAATAAAAAGTATGCTCAACATGTTAGTGATATCACAAAATGTTACCAAATTTACTCGATGTACCTTAAATAGTAGTACTATTGTAGACTATGTTGTAGACTATGTTAGACGTGTTAGGAATCACACGTTAAAAGTTAAGACCTCGTTAGTCCTTAGCTCGCACAAGTTTCGACTTCTGAGGGTTGTCGTTCGTAGGGGTGCGATAGCTGGTTAACGGAAAAAAATATTTTAAATTTTTTTTTATTAATTTTGAAATATTTACAGTTCATAATACCCCTAAGATAACAGATCATTCATTAATTTCAGTAAATGTCAGTAACTCACGGAGTAGCCATGAAATTGAGGTAGTTAAACCGTTTAGAAATTTTGGTCCAACCAACATGGATAAAATTAATTTTGAATTAATCTCTTGTAATTATTTGTTAGATAGTATAAACATCAATAATTTCCTGGAGGATTTTAAATCCACATGTGAATTGAATTGATCATGATTACCATGCACCAAATAGATCACTAATTATCAAGTCAAATAGTGTACTTTGGTATGATACTGAACTGAAAATAAAAAGTTTTGATCGAGACCGAGCATATTTGTTATTTAAATGCAATAGAACAAAACAAAATTGGCATTAGTTTAGAAACATCCGTAATGAGTTTGTAAATTTACTGAAAACTAAAAAAAATCAAATTTTCTATGGCAAAATTGACATGAATAAAAGAAATCCATTGTTAATGTGGCAAGAACTCAAGAAAATTGTTAATATAAAAAATAATTCATACTTGTTTAGAAATGGGATACACTTCAAAAATGGAGATGGTCAAATGAACATTATGTGAAAGAATGATGAAATTGCAGAGTGTTTCAATAACTTTTTCATTGATAGTATTCGAGATATAATTGAAAGCACTGATGAGACTCATGTAAGATATGATTAACTGTCATTAGAAAGCACCTTTGCACAGTTTCAAAATATAGAATTAGAGGATCTCACAAACATCATTAATAACCTGGAAAATAAATATAGTAATGGAATAATTGATACTAAGTTTTTAAAAAGTACATATGGGATTACTGGCCATGTGTTGTTACATTTTATCAATATATCTACAGTAGAACTGTTATGAGGAATGAACTATATGATTTCTTGTTGGATAACTGCTTTTACAGTATGGATGAATTTCTTGCTTTTAGTGCTTAGATAAATGACTTAGTTTATTTTATACATGTAGTCTTCTCTTTTAAGTTTGTTCAAGATCAAACATTTTTGTTTTGCTTTTAGTGTTTTACTTTTGACTAGTCCAATAAGTTTTCTCACGTATTTAGTCTTGTAATTATGTATGTGTGAAAATTTTAGTGATGAATAAAACTATTTCTATTTCTATCATTGGAGTATGGAGTTTTTCCTGATCAACTAAAAACTAGTACCATTGTACCTATCCAAAAAGTTTCGAATACCGTGAAATCTTGAGAATATTGACCAATTAATACTTTGAAAGTCAATCAGGCTTTCGACAACATCATTCATGTGAATCATCATTGCAACTAGCTATTGCTATTAATGGAGAGAAAGTATTGATAAAGGTTATTATTGCAGTATTCTTAGATTTGAAACGAGCTTTTGAGACAACTGATTGCGAAATTTTGATAAGAAAGCTAGAAGCTGCTGGTTTTCAAGGAACTGTACTAAATATTATTTTCATGTTGGACTCATTAAAATGGTTATCAGTGTCACAGAGATTATAAGTACTTGACATTTATAATTTTCATTTTCAAAGTCTTGAATAAGTGGATGCTAGAATACTTTAATGATTTTGTTGTCTTTAAATCTCAAATTCATAATTATCAAACAAGAGGTAATACAGGACAACAACTTTACTTACCAAAATACAACCTCACTAAGTTAATGAAATGAAAAGAATACAATAAACTGCCCAATCAAATGAAAGACACGAAATTAATTAATTTAAAACTAATCTTGTTATGCATATAAGATCTAATAACTAATATTTGATCCAATATAATATTATATTATCATTATATATCGATTTATGTTTACGGATCTATGTACATGTTAGTAATATCTTCTTATCATTGTTTTTTTTTAATTGTATGTATATTAGGATTAGTATCCTATTCAATAAAGATTCATTCATTCAAGGTTTGGACTGTATAAGAGTTGTACTGTATTATTTAAAAACTCACCTGTGACTTATCTTCTATTCCACCAATGATCCTGAATCCGAAACCAGTATCCTGTCTAATGAGCGTGAGTGCTGTAGTTGCGTATTCCACATTTCTCGTCTGGTACCACCAATCATTTCCATTGTATTTCTTTGAATTTTCATAGGAATCGATTGGTTCCAAAGTACCTGGCCTGGAATTCGTGCAGTAGGCACAAGAACAGTCGTATCTATGAGGGATAGGCATGTACAGTCCGAACTTCATATCCGCTTGAGGGGGATATTCGCCAAGGGGTTTTCCTTGATTATCGGCAATGTCGATTTCATCTATATCTTCCTCATCAGGGTTATCTATTAGAGACAAACGCAACCGAGATCTGTCAGCGCTAATATTGTCATGTGGAAATTCATGCTTGAACAGCTCGTGGTTAGAATTCAAGTTAACATCTTTGACAGGAGTCTTTGTAAGCCCTCTAGTATCGACCAAGGGCGTCTTTGGCCTACTGGGTAGCACTTCTCGAGGTTGTGTGCTGTAAATCTCTGCAGTAGGAGTTTTACTTCGATATGCACTACCGACGTCCTTCCCGTTGAACCGCATATCCGCTTTTCTAGGCTTATTTCTAATAGTTGGCGTCTTATTTGAACAACCTCTTTGAACACATATATCCGCTTCACTATTGTAGGGACAGTTTTTTAAAACCTGCACGACGTCATCATGGGACATGCTTTGTAAAGAAATGTCGTTTATCTCTAAGAGTATGTCACCTTCCATTAAATTTTTACACCGTTGGTGGTCGAGGATTTTCTTCACTCTCTGTCCGCATGCGCTATCAGCTATGGTGAAGCCGAAACCTAAATTACCCTTGACAATGCGAACTCGCACTTCAATTTTGCCCATGCTGAGCCCCCCAATGCCTTTGATCAGGTCGTCAAGGTCGCTGTTTGGCTCCAGTACTGATTTGTCTTCACCATCAAGAAAGTTGTAGTTGGTGTCCACCAAGCACTTATCGTCAGGTACTTGTTGGAGATGGTTGTCTACTGCTATGGTCGTCACGACTTCAGTGTTGGGGTCGTTGGGGTCAAAGGGAAGAGGGTAGCCTCGACAGACCTCCAGACCGACGGTGGATCCGATGCTGATTGACTGGAACAGCCTGACGATTTGATTGTGGGTGTATCCTAGAACGCATGTATCGTTGACAAAAACTATAACGTCTCCTGTTTGTAGCTGTCCGTCCAGCCAGGCCGGGCCTTTTGGGACGACGGATTTGATCTGAAGAAACTCGTCAACCCCGTCATCACCGCCTACTATAGTGAATCCCAAGCCGCGGGAGGATTTGACGAGGGATGTCTTGAAGCGTTGGCCGCACAGTTCAGAAGGGTCCTTGGTGAACGAGGTTCTGCTTACTCGAGCAGAGGCCTGGGAGGCCGCCCTCTTGGCTTGTATCACAGGATTTTCATATTGGGTTCGCCGGTTGACGTGGTCGATGAAGTAGGTGCCATAGTGAGGATCGCTTATTTTTTCCCAGCCGTACGGTAACTCGTCGTCCAGGCAGTCTTCTAGTGTTTTTTTCTGGAACTTAGAGAGCCTCGGATCAAGCCAGTGGGAGGTTCCGGTGGAGTGACTGCAAAAAAAACTTACTGAATAAGAATTTTATTCGAAACACTTCACAAAGAGTAGAGTAGAACTTTAAATGACGATAATATTCAGAATTTCAGAAAAAATATGTTGCTTATGAACTGAAACAATTTGTAAGATTACAAAAAGGCTTTCTCACTTTTTACGAAAAATTTCATTATATATTGAGTTATTATTCGCAAAAAACAATTTTACAACGAAGAAAGAAAAAATCCATGGATTACTTTTGCTGTAGAAACTGCAGAAAGATCTAATGATTATAGCTAAACATCAATATATGAATTTTCGAAGAAATATCAAAGGAACAACCTTTAATGACTACAGAATACTGAACCCGAACAACATAAATGGGAAATATTGGAATATAATAAATGAAAATGAAAGAAGAACAAGGATCAAATAACTGGAATAATAAACACAGACGGTGAAGTTCTAAGAAATGATTAGGGTTCTACTTATTTCTTTTACACATATTTTGTATAACATAATGAAATCCAACATTTAAAAAATGAAAACCATACACTAAATATTGAACCCTGGTTCCACTCATTCTAGTAATTTCCTAATAATCCTGAAAAAATACATAAAACTATTTAAAAACACCAGGTATACATAATTTACCGGGAAATATTAAGACTTAGTTATATTTCATCAAATCTATTAAGTGTTTCTATAAATAGAAATGAAGGTAAATATCCTCAGCAATTGAAATTCTAATAGGTTGTTCCACTGTACAAGCATAAAGGGGATAGAAGAGTGTAATTTTTCTCTGGCTAATACCAAGGCGAGTTTTGAATTGCATTTGACCAACGACACCTTTGAAAAATGTCTATTTTTTCGATGCTATTTAATATCCTTCATAGGGAAAGTATTAGTTATTATTAGTATAACTACAGCTAAATTTAAGTTGACATCTGCAAGTATTGTCATAATGACTGGTAGATATCAGTGAAGGTAGTGTTTCTCTTAAAACTATGCAGCCAAAGCTAGTTTTGACATTTTGAAGAGAAATCTTGAATTCATCAATATTTTTATCAATACTCCGTATATTATTGAGCAATATTTTAAAATCATTTGGATCATTCACTTCCAGTATTTTTTTACACTCACTGTTAAGAGTGAATGTTTCGACTGAGTTTACTTCAATGTCTCAAGTATATTGATCCATTTTTTTAAATTGTAATATTCAGACCTATTTATGATGCTAACTAATCTAAACTAAAACTAAGCTGATAAATTTTTTAAAAATTCAATTAAAATTTATTTACAGTGTTTCTTGCTCTGATTGCGGTGCTGAATACATAGGTCAAACAGCCATACTTTCAAAAGACAATATTTCCTCACATAAAAGTGATTGCACTCAGTGAACATGTCTACAGGAAGGGTCATGCAATTGACAGACATAAAAAGCATGAAACGTGTTGTGAAAAATAAATAAATAGAAACTGCCCAAATGGTCCTCAGAAAATCATTTCATTGACGGCCTAACCCCGTCTGATTCATGCTAACCCCGTCTGATTCATGCGACCAAATAAATTGAAGTATATTGTGATATCAGTGAATCATCACTAAAAAATCCTAAAATCCTGGGATGAAAGTCAAATGTTATTTATTACTGAAGGAAACATCTATGATGCAATTCTACTAACCTTGAAAGAACAAAACTGTTTTTCCATCTCATTGTATTGGAATTCAGTACAGACTTTGAGTTAGCAGTTTTTATTCAAACTGAGTCATAAAAAAGAAATATTCTTTCAATCTGAAATGAGTCACAAACAGGTAGTTTCAAATGTAACCGGAGGGAATATTGGAATGCTGAAGATATTTGTACTTGACTGGTGTTTTGGAGTTTTTCAAACAATACAATAAAAATAAACTGTTTTAACAAAAATATTATATCTCTGATGCTAGATTGTTATAGAAACCACCTGCCTGGGTTGTTGTGACGTGGATTTCAAGAAAATAAATGGAATTCTAAACATTTATTTCTCCCACTGTAGTATCTGGTGAATACCTGCCTAAAAACAACTACTTTCCCGACTACTACCCGATGAACACTGAGTTATATATAACAAATTACGTAATAGGGATAACCGTCTAATATCAATGACAACTCTTTTATTTTTAAATTCATTGAATATTGATACAGAAAATATCAAAATAATGTTTGTTTTTTCTGATACGACAATCGAAGAATTTTTTGTCAATAAAACTTAGTCGTGAGTTTACCGCCAGCGAATAAACCTATTTAAGTAGGAGTTTAACGGTTTTTCAGAGATTTTCTAGATCAAAGGTTGACTTGAAAGAAGATTAAATGCTTGTCAAAATCGAGTTTGGTTTGAGGACTGTTACCACGGGAAATTCGCCACTTAATGATGATTTTAGTTCATCTGCAGTGTAAAAAAATGGAAATCACTCATGAAGGTTAAATGATTTTTTACAATCTTGAGAAGGACTAGAATATAAAGAATCACTTAGTCAAATTCCGAACTAATTAAATTCGAAGAAAATCTAAATGATATAAAAGAAATAAATACAAATGCATAATATCAAATGATTCTTTGGAGATAGCAAACAGTTTTATCGATATATATACACCAATTTTGGTGAGGGCTTAGGCCAAAAAATTACTGAACCACTAAATTTTGAAAAGAAAGCAGAGCACATATTGAACACAATATACCTGGGGTGTACTAGAACTGAAACTGAACAAATAATCTTCAAACAAACGAAAATACCAAGGTTAGATTCAATAAGTTCTTATATATTACAAGCTATATGCGAAACTCTAAGAAAACCAATGTGTCACTTGTTCAACTCAATCTTATAAAGCCATATCTTCCTTGGTCCTAGGATATTAAATAAGGTTCCCTGCAAAATTCGTTGAATTTACTGTATAAAAATTTATAAAAAACATACTAGGCAGTGGTTATTATCAGAAACATGTCTTAAAAAAATTCATTAGACCAAATAAAAGTCAGGCTTCTATTATGGGATACATAATCACCCACTTAAAATATCATTTCCTTCTTCGTTATGCTCAGATCAGTACAATATATAAGAGGATATATATTTAACATATCTCGCACTAATAAAAGATCTGAACAAAGTGTAATACCTTACACGAAGTTTATCTCATCAGCACACCCTCCGTGCCTTTAGAAACCTGAATCGTTTATGTAGTTCTTTCAATTATTGTAATCGCATGCATGTTTATTGTGTTGTTGTAAATCAATGAGTTAACGCCAGCTTCTTATACAGCGCAACAAATAATTGATCACAAGGAAAAAACATCAAATTATTGACTCATTTCATGTATTCTCCCATAAGATACGAAAAATGAGTTAAAACCATTTTTTATCGCCTCAAGAAGCTATTGGAAGCCTTTCAGAACCATGTTTTCAAGATACCAACTTCAGTGGGGAAAAACTATTTTGAGAATTGGGTTGAACAAATGCAAAGGTGCATCAATCTTAAAGGCAAATATTTTGAAAAATTAAAAAAATTTCCTACTTTACGTAAACCGTCTGCCACAGTAGCAGTTTGGATTTTGTTGTCTTTATAAGTGACTCTGGCCGTGAAAGCCTTTGTTCTTGTAATGTTGAAATTCATTCACCTCTAAAGTAGCATATATTAAAAAGGTGGCATCTGATGCTAACTTATAAATTTAATTTCACTGAAACAAGAATAAAATAGAAACCATTGTAGATCGATGAATGACGATGACAATGAGACTTGCTTTAATGTTACCTATACTGCCTTGCTATGAAAAAACGCAGTAAGTACAAAAATATGAAAAATGAGAGTTCAGTTTGCTGTGAGTATTTCCAATCCACAGAATCTGAATTTTCATGAAAAAATGCAGTATCTTCAGGCGTTGAGCCACCGTACTGAGTAAAAAATTTTGACATTTCATTCGTTGAAATGTAGTATTCACATGAATGTAAGAAATAACACGGTAGACATAGACATACTTTATTTGACTAAGTTCATGTAAATTACATTTGTAGCAAGTCATATTACAAAAATTGGAAAAAATTGGATTTGAATATAATTGCATTTGTATTTCCAGAAA